CAGTCGGAAGTGTGGTTTTTCCAAATTCTCAGTTATGCCATCCACGGCTGTATTTCACTTGCGACCACGAAAACATGATCTTTTATTGCATTGCCTCTCAGTGAAATGTGAGTAACGTGGACTGCCAAAATCAGTGATAACTATGTTATATGTCAAAATGTATTAAAAATTGACTGTGCCTCTCCTGAGCATAAAAATTTTCGCATGGGAAGGCTGTCTTCTGAATCTTAGGGATTATCTTTCCTCAATCTAAGAAGTAGAGTCAGACGCCGTTATATAATTCCGTCGTTAAATATCTCAGCGCTGCTATTACCGAAGTAACCATAACCTCTGCTTTTCCACTTGCAAACTGCAACGTTATTTTGATATGAAATTTACTCCTCCAAGCAGCGTGTGATACCAGGTCCACTAGGCATTACCACAATTATATCAGGTAATTCTAACAATAATAGTACTAAGAGGGTCAGTAACCAGCCTTTTAGCATGTAATCTTCGAACCGTTTGGATGTTCAAATGAAATCAGCCAGTGCTCGGTGCCAAAAAAATAGAGTGGTTCGCGCTCACTGTATCTCCTGCTAATAAAAGCGCTATCAATCGACAAAACACGCCTACTCGTTTGATCGCATTCTGAGTGTGTTACGAGTAAAGGTGTCTTGAATTGGTCGCTGTATATGCACTCCTTATCCCTCAGTTTCCCAACTTTAATTCGAAAGATGATGATATTTTTTGAGCGATACTCATTCCCAGAAGACTTCACTCTTCCACTTGCTTCATTGCGATGTCAGGGATTCCTTTCTTTCCTTCGTACCTATGACGGCTAACGCTTCACTTCATCGTGAAAATACCCACTTGTCCGCTTTTCTCCAACAGTGCATTCCCGCTCCTGTCTCGTCTACTTTTTTTCCTGTTTGCAGTCGATCCTTTTTGTCATTTTATCGTTCGACCAATAGAGTTGCATAAATGGCCCAATGTGGGTGCACAGTGACACTGCATTTATAGTGATGTTCGTGGTTGTAGGCACCTGGACTGCCCACGAAGCATTCGACTACTTGGTGGTGCCAATGACTTTCACGTCACCTCCCTGGCCTTGTCTCCGGATGCCACCTCTTTCGCAACCCTCTGCGAGGACGGGTAGGTGTCTTTTCTCAAACTAACTTTTTCTTCGCTGTCTGCAGCATGCGCGCATTCCCTCCTTGGTTCCTTTTTTCTTGTTGTTTTGCGTCAAAGAGGAAGGTATCAACTAGATGTCTTTCACTGTTACAGTTTGTGATCTATTCTGGGAAGGGTAACGAAAGCCGCACAAAAACCTTGTAACCCACAAGCCACCCACCTCGCATCCACAAAACTCGTGTTGCGTTAAAAAAAAGTTCTTTGAAGGAAGGCGTAGTTTGATTTATAAATTATTATTTAATGATTTAGTTAAGATCTCTTGCGGTACTCCATAACCACTTGCTAGTAGCCTGTCTGGTTCTGCTTATTTGGGTTGTTGTATGTCGTATCCCTTTACTTGAATCAATGACGGTATTGAACAGTTTGTACGGTTCTATAATTAGAGGAAATTAGAAAAACTTAAATATTGCGCTTAAAAACCATGTCTCCAAGCTTAGAAGCCGCGAGATGGTGTTAGTTTGCGTGGTTATCAGATGGGGAATTCAAACAAAAAATAAGGGACTTAGGAGAAACAAGCAGAGCGTACTTGCCCTGTAGGGGGACAATCAAATACAGGATAAACAGTAACATATATAAAATTATATATCATATAAATAACTTTAACGTTAATGCCAAAGGTCTAAACGGTAAGGTAGCGCGTCTAGTGTTATAAGGAGGCAAATAGTTATGTTACTGTTGAATGTATGGAATTGGGGGCAACTAGGTGTACATGGCGACGTACAACTAAGAAGTCATGTGTCTTATCGAAAAAAATATCAAATCCAAAACGACCTTATGGCAGGTCAATTGTTTGAGGCAAAGCTTAAGTGTTGGTAAAGAAGGACAATGTAATACGAAAAATTAATTAAAAGCACAAACACATACAACATTGATTGTCCTTTTGCGTCTAAAACCACTGTAAGTCGGGTGGATATAGAAAGTGCCAAATTGTGGACTGGTGTGTGCAATTATAAAGCGCAAAGCCAGTTTGGATTGTTTTTTTGCCTCACTCCAATTCATTTGGGTTAGTGCAATGAGATTTTCGATCAAGTTGAGGTGCGGGCTGTTTGTGAGAAAAAAAAATGCTTCGTTCGATTTTCGGCGCTGTCTTATTACTAATAAGTCTTCGGAGTGTGACCTGTCTAATATTGAAAATATTAGCTAACGACTCACAGGGCAGCCCTTCGACTGACGATTTCTATACAGACTCAAATTCAGCGTCTAAAAGTAAGTGCTCGGACATCTTTGTCGCAGGGCGCGATACACAGAAGTGGCAGCATGTTGCGGGAACTAATTTCAAAAATTCTTAAAAGCATGACTTTGAGGTGAGTGAATAGTGAGTTAAAGGGCCAGAACCGAAATTTATATGAACATTACAGTCGAGGACAATCAACTTCTGTCGAATAACTACACAATGCCCATTCTAAAAACGATTAGTACTACTCGTTAGTTCCGCCGATCTTTCAGCTGCTGCGCGATGCAGCAACAACATCTATATTTATTTAAGCTGTAATAAAACAAAGTACTGTTGAACCTATGTTTTCTGCCTTTTGTGGCAAAAACGACACCAGTTCGCAAGGCATATTCTTTAAACCTGCATTATTGCCTTATTTCTGAAGGATAATGAGATTTATCATACCTGTCTTAATCTGATTCTCCAACTCTAAAAACGCCATTTTCTGGTTCCAAAAAAGTTTTTAAAACTTTTTTCTGCTTATAAATATTAATTATTATTTATAGTTCAACAAGCACAAACAACGGTTTTTGAACTGCGATATCAAATAGTGTAGGGACTTAGCTACTTGGGTGCCCGAAATTGTCTGATTTTTCTTAAATCTGGCCCGTTTTCCTTTCATAAATTAAAGTTGAAATGAATACTTTTTTTAGTAAAATACTTTTTGAACTTCAAGTGATAAAAGTAACAGTAACAACCAAATGTGTATCCAAAAGTGCCCACGCTCTTTTACGTATTGGATCATTTACTGTATTTCAGCATGTTAGCAGCTCTGTAAGGCTGCCTTTAGGACTTAGGGAGGCAGTGCAACTACCACCTCCGTCCCACGCGGCACGCCCACTTGTGGCAACGAGTGTAGGGGCCTTCAGTTAAAGTTAACGACAGTGTACAGTAGCCGCCGAAGACCATGCAACGCTAATTATGAAATTTGGC